CGTTCGTGCGGTGGGCGTCCACGTACATGCCTAGTACTCGGAGGCTCTGGACGTGCGGGACGTGCAGTGATAGAGAACGTGAGTGGTGCCGAGGTGTCGATCCGCGCTGCTGGGCAACGTAGTCCGCAATTTCCAGAGGCCGCTGGCCGAACCTAGGAGGTGGAGAGTTGGCCGAAAAATTACGAAGTCCCAGCTCTCGATAAGTGCACTGTAGGTAGATGTGGCCAGGTTCGCCACAGTGATAGCAAAGAGGACGTCGATCGGGGGCCCGCCACACGTCTGATTTTCGCGGAATCGGTCGGCGGTCGCTGAGGTACGGGCCCGCTTGGACTACCTGAAGCATGGCTGGAGCCATGGTATGAAGCGGAGTGAAATGTGGTGTAGGTTGGCGCAAAGTTTAGTCTGCCGGAAGCATTGCAGGGGCTGGGATGGGAAGCGGAGCCAAAGGTGGTGCTGGCTGGAGCAGAGTTTGCGCATACGACATGCGAGGGAAGTCATTTAGGTGCCGCGGCTCTGTCTGACAGACGGTGGACGGTTCTCGTAGTGCCTGCTGAACTTCATCTCGGACGATGCCGGACAAAGAACTGACAGTGGGCGCCGAAGGTACAGATAACTTCCGCAGTTTTTCGCGGATTACAGAGCGTATGAGTTCTCGGAAGAAGTCGACGTGGCCCCCAAGATTGCCCATGTAGTCCGTAGCAGAGGCAAAGTTCAATTGTCGCTTGTAGGTGTGGGTCCGTTGCCGAAGCGTGCTTTCAATTAGGACGGCTTCAGCAAGAAACTCTGATGTAGTCTTGGGTGGGCTGCGTACAAGACCACCGATCTGCTCCTTCACTCCACGCATCAGGTATCGCACCTTCTTCTCTTCCGGCATGTGAGGGTTGGCTCGTCGAAAAAGACGCGTCATGTCCTCAGCATACATTGTGACGCCTTCGTTTGGCATTTGCATACGACACTGGAGTTCACACTCAGCTCGCTCTCGGGACTTGCATACGTTTCGAGAAGCCGACGTTTGAAGTCCACCCATGACGTGAACACACCTGCCCGGTTTTCGTACCAAACACACGCCCCGTCATTCAAACTGAAGTAGACATGTCGGAGCTTGTCTGTGTCATTCCATATGTTATGAGCGGCAACGAAGTCATAGTGGACTAGCCAATCCTCAACATCTTCATGGACGGCACCATGAAAGGGATTCGGCGTTTGTGGTTTGAACAGTGTATAGTGCATAGGCGTTGCGCCTTCCATACTTGCTGGGTTGGAGCCGCTTGGAACGGCACTGCCTGGGATAGTTGGGGTCGTCATCCTCTCTGGGAGAAGTCCGAACTCGGGGTCCAGTCCACGCATCTTTCGGCTAGCACTGTGAACAGGCGTAACCACGGGTACAGGGCTGCAGCTTCTTGTATTGGGAGGGGTTCGGTGCATAGGGTACCCCGGCACCTCCACCAGTTGTCACGCGCTAGGAGCTCAAAGAAACGTACAAGGAGACGCGACTGTTAAAATCTCAGACACGAAGAAGGACGTCTCCACTGGCACGGGTTGCTCGTCTTCGTATTCTTCGTTCTCCTGGCACAGAACTGGCTTACTGTTCACTGGCACAGAACACCAGGTGGCAGTATTATGAATCTCCCAAATTTAAAAGTCGCGAGTTTGGCAGATTCATATTTAAATTCGCAGAGTTAGTCAAATGATTTGACAAGCACAGCAAATTCTGATATGGACTTAATCATGGTTTGCTGAATGATGTAATTCAAAATACTACTTTCATTGAAATAGCCGTTCACACTACACGATTTAGGCGATGTTGAGTGGTTTATACACTTTTTATTTTCTAAATTTAAGCCCTGTTTCTTCTATTGCTCTAAATTTCGTGTTTCATGATGAAAAAATGCATGTTTTTTTTTTTCCCTGTAACCTGCTTTAAATTTAGATTTTAGTGCTCCAAATTGTATTTCGGCTATTGCACCCCGGTTTCTAATAATCAGGAAAGTAGAATGTGTAGGTAATTTCTGAAACCAAAGTAATAAATGAGAACTAACAAAAAAACAGCCCTTAAATTTTCATTTCTCTTCTTCAAACTAAATGCTAGAAGCGGGTCGTCTTGCATCCAACCGGCTCCTAGACAAACTTGGATAGATTATAAAAGTGTGTTTGGCTAGCTTTGGTGCAGACTTGCGATGCAATACTGAAAAAAAATGAACAATTTACAATTACTTCAATAGAAAAAATCAGATATATGTGATCTGTTAATATTACAATTAGATATATGTGATCTGTTACTATTACTGTTACTTTGAAACAGCAATGGCCGATTGCCATTAGTAATATATGTGTTTATCCTATAAATAACGTGTGGTCAGGACAAACTACCTCCCCACCACTTGCCCTAATTTATGCTGTCAAGGCTAGGGAAGCAATACAAATGTTGAAATTCGCAGGATGCAAGGTTGCCTGGAGGCTCGCGCAATTTTGAAATTCATGGCTTGATGTTGCTGTCATAACTGCGAGGTAAATGATGCAAAAAATAGGGATAACTTCTGTGCCTGACACATTATAAAGTACTGGTACTGAATACCCTAAAACCTCTTTTAGATCATCTAAGCTTTAACAGGTTATCCATGAAGCCCGCACATGACATTTCATACAAGCACCTCAGAATCCAGAGAGCAATGTTTCTTTCTACTTTAATGCTTCAAAAAGTTTTTTCGATGCTCTATTCTGATATAAAACAAAATGAAGAAAGTGATGCTTTCTTACTAGAACTTGCATTGCACAACATTCAAGACCATCATGATGTTATAGTTAGCAACAGTATATATCCTTCGATAAGTTTTGGTAGTGCTGTGAATGGCACTTTGAAGCTTTTTTTGTAGCTGAAAAATAATTTTTCACGCAGAAGTGTGTATACAGCAAACAGGCAAGACCTGAATGAGCAGGAAGGCCAAACAAGAAAAAAATGGGCACCACTGGCTAGTTTTTTTCTGCGACACATTCAATGTGTAAATGTTTTTTCACTCTTTATAAATGGCAAACCTGTTATGTTTTTCAATTTTGCTTATTCATGCAAGAAAATATTAATGTGCATGTCATTAGATAGCGTTAAGATTCAGAGGAAGGTTGTGGACAAAAGGGCTAACATTTGCATCATCTCGGCTAGGTCATGCAGAAGCCACTGCTACCAGAAAGGTTTCTCGTCATGTCTTGTAGTGGTCGGAATATTTACATGCATGAAGCGAACCCAGGTCTCTTGCTCTCACTCACCCATAGGATTGCCACCTTTTCTCGACCAAAAAAATCGGCCATTTAACGAAATTGGGGGTGGGTGGAAAGAATTATTTCCTAGAATCAATTCCACCTTATGTATGAACGAAAATGTCTTACTAATCTAACCTACTAATATAATTGCCGGCATAAAATATCCATGATTAGAATGACGCTTCGTTCACTGCCCTGAAAAAAAGCCGGCCAATGACTGCGGGTGTGAACCGGCAACCAGCCCACTGTCTAAAAAATTGGCCGAGTCGGTCTCATACCAGACAGGTGCCAACCCTACTCACCCATTTTTTTTTTTAAAGGCGAGATAAGCGGGAACATGACTTGGGGATATGGAGGCCCTAGAGACAGAGATATGCCTGCGAAATGTTCGAGTGAAAGATCTGGTGTGCAAGGCACCACTGTATAGAAAGAAAAAGTGAAGAAGTATTTTACACTTGGTAATTTATTTGAAGTCTTTATATAAGGTCAAAGAACATGTTCAAGCCTAAGTTGCCGCATTATGTGCAAAGCGATTTGCCTCAGTGACCAACATTTTTTGTTACAGCAAGTCCTTCAAGCACCATAATGTAAATGATAGAATTGTAGACTTACTCGCAGGAAAAATCATTCCAATGCCTATAGGAAGCCATTTATTTCATTAGAGCAGAATATACCACAACCTGAAGAGTTTGCTTATATGCCCATATGTGAAGTCTATATATTGAGCAGCAAATGTTTAAAAAGGTGCAATATTAATGAGAAACTAACAGCAAGTGATGCCAAGGAAAGTATAGGAGATGTTATTAGTAGTTGTAACTTGTCACTGGCAAGGACTCAACCTTCAACTTTAGAATCACGCATCTGATGCTCTACCACTGAGTGACAACCCCACGACCTGCAGGTCAGCAGCTGAGTACATTAGCCACTAGACCACCACGGCAGGACCACTTTATAAGGCATATATGTGCATTTAAACAAGGGAGTGTCAGTTATTATTGTATCTAACAAAAAAAAAAAAAAACGAGCCTTTAAATTTATACTTATTTCCTTCATAAAAAGCTACAAGTAACCCGACTAGTAAGGCAGAAGGAACATTCGAGGAGGACACATGCCAGATAAATCATTGCTTTTACCTCAAAAGACTCTGAAAAGCTTGAAGAGTTACACTTGCTGTGAGCATAGGTATTTCATAATTTACCTTGTGGTACAAAAAGAGATGTCTAGGATATGCACTTGCCGAGTGGTCCTTTTAAGCTCATTACACCACTACAGAAGATTGTGTAGGCATGCTTGCACTCTTATATTCTCCATGGCATCTGCACAGTGTTCTTTTGTAGGTTAGACATGTGGTCTTATAAACTCAATAAAACAGCAAGTCAGCACTGTGGATCAAAACTGCATCCGGCTTTCAACAGGCGGTGGTAGGATGTTTCACATGATACATCACATATTTAAGAATTAGTAGTGTTTGCTCCGCCTGCAAATAGCATGTGTTGTCTGTGTCCCTGTTGGGCCCTGTGATCTTCAGGGCTCTGAAGTATGTTGATTTTGTCAGCGAAAAAAAAAAAGCTATCCTTGTTGAAGAAAGAACAGTGGAAAGATGTCTTAAAATAGGGCTAGCCACATAGGCACAGCTGCTGTAGCATGCTTTCATACAGGCCTATACTTTTCAAGTCAGTGCCCACTGATATCTATTTTTTTTTAAACATTCCTGTTATCCAGAGAATATTCATACTGCCACTGTGTCGTTCTTTAACAAATGTTTTATTCCACGTTTAATGGCACACAACATAACAAAACAATTTCTTCCAAACAAATGAGAACAGATAAGCTACATCAACACTATGGTGATTATGTAAAATTTACAGTATTTTCAAATGAAACGACATTTAGTGAATGAAAGAGATGGTATTTGAACAAATCACATGTTGGCAGACACAGCACAGGAAACTCGTCGGGCTGCGCACACAGTGCACGCCTCCGTGCGAACCGCACGGTTCGAAAGCTGGGTTTTATAGTTCACGCATTTCGGGCAATGCAGGCACGATTACGGCATGTGTTTGCGAGTGTCATTTCTTGTAAAATAAAACCCACGGTTGAAACTTTAATCGCGTCCGGGATAACTTTTTTTTCAAACTTCCCTGAATTAATCTGAAACGAGGCCCGTATTTTGCACTGTTTCTCGTCGCAGTCCGCTATCATGCGTTGGGCCGCGCGGCCGATCGGCGGCGCAGCAACGTCAGTCAATGCGGAAGGACGAAAATAATGAAAATGAAAGGGATCACTCGACAGTACAACTTCTGCTGAGCAAGTACATTCTCAGTTGTCGGGTAACGACGGCGGTACCATTGGGGGGATGAAGTGCGCCCGAAGCTCTGCATTCAGTCGTGCAATTTCAGGATGCTCCCGTTCCATCTGCTTGATGATTTGGGCGAACTGCAACACACCTAATTAAAAGAAAGGGGGAAAAAGTAACCGACGTTATGGGACTCGCTGCAGAGAACAAATTAATTTGTATTTGTATGAAAGCCTCCCGTTAAGATGCTTGTTTTCTAGGGCGGTTAAAGTCGAGGAGGGTTTGAGCGTCCGGGCTCCTCCACAATAATTTACAGCGTGGCTCGGCCACAATTTCCCGGTAATCTATAAACGCACATACCTTGCTATCATATGCATTTCATGTGTGCATATACAAGCAGCCCATGTGCGCTGTTTTTATATGCCTACATGTGTACAACTAGATGCTTGAGGCATCATAACGACTCTTTCGTGCTACCGCATCAGCGACTTGTGCTGTTTGCCGTACCTTCTCCGTCGCGTGTGAAGCCGTAGCTCTCGATGACCGTCATTTCTATTTGCGTTAGAAGAGGAAAAACGATCTGCATGTGCTTAAGCATGTCGTTTCCAGCAAGATCTTTTGCGTCTTGAAGCCTTACGAAGTTCTCAGGTTGGTCAAACGCAGCTAGGATGTCTTCCAGGGCACCTGAATTGCATTAAAGGGAGAAGAAAACGCGAAATTAATAGTTCGCGCATCTTTTCAATGAGTGCAAGCTAAATCTAGGCATCGGCACGTTACCTTTTGCTTTCTCAGAGTCAAAGTTTTCTTTGAGCGCGAGGGTAGTCGACATTTTCGCAAGCACCCGCAGAGCACGAAGTTCAGCTAGAAATTTCCGCGGAGCGCCAACGAGCCATTATAGAGGAATATACCACACGGAGGAAGGAAAGGTGAATATACCAGGACCACGGCCGCTGGATCAAAGCGCACAGGGTGCGGCCTGCTGCGTGCGCCCGAAACAGCGGAAGAGGCCGAGTTCATTCGCCTGCCGCCGCGGCGCCACCGGTCAAGAACAATGAAAAACGGCGGAGTAGCGGTGCGCACGCAAATTCCCGGGATGTTTTAACTCGCCACTCTTCGTGCTGCAAGCGGACACTTTGAATTTGATATCCTCTCAGTGCTTTGTTCCACCCTACTACGGGACCCATTCCCTTGTGACAAGTGGTTTATCGCTACTAAGGGAGACGGAGTGGCCTCGACTAAGCCATCCCGCCCCTGCGACAGTCAGCTTTAAATTCATGCTTATGACAAGTTTGCCCCGTCCTCAGGCCACAGGATTAATACGCGTATTTCATATTATTTTACAAAAGGACTTGAAAGAACTTTCAGACCCCTTTTACGGCATTTAACTACAGCACAACGTTTTAGCTTCTCGTTAAAATCTCTTTTGAATAAAGGCCATGATTTTATGTTTGCCTTTCTCCGCTGGCGCGATGGTGGATTACATAACCTTTAATTCATTCCAGAGTATTTCAGGAGCTATAATAACTCTAAATTAGCATTCGTCTGCATATTTCCCGTTCGAAGAGTGTTGAATGTGAAATTGTCTTCTTTGCTGTGCATGTTGAAATAATGAAAATGCCGGGTATTGTGCTTACAATGAAACGTGCGTTTATTAACTGGAGCTCTACAATCTCTAAAAGATCAGTATATTTTCTAATACAGCAGAACAATTTTGCCTGCATTACAAGGTAAAAAATGGAGGTGCCATGGTCCTCAAAGGCGCAGAACTTTTCTGGAGAGGGGCTTGTGTGCCAGCCTTACAAGACGTTGCACAGTGGCACTCACATTCCCTGCCCAGTTAGCTAGGAGTGGTCGAAGCAGCTTTTTTTAAAAAAAACATCACAGATCTGGTTCGTGTGCTGAAGGCTGCCCGAACCACACCGTAGTGCGGGGCAGGTAACCAAATGTGGAAGGAGGGCTGAGTGAAGAAGTTTACACAGATTTCCACTTCTTCGAACTTCAGTGTCTTTCATCACTTCACTGACAAAGTCACATGCGAGTTTGCAAATTTTCACGATCTCCATGTTGGGATACCGAAGTTGTCCGTTATCGATTTTCTTCACTAAATCGTAGATGCTGCTACACGGTTTCGTCTCTTGCAGGAGAACCTTGCATGATTCACAGGGCAACTGCAAGTAATAAAATCAAGCCAAGTAAAATTTTCATCAAAAGTACTATGCAACAAGTATGTAGGCTCCTTTTCTTACTTCGCTTAGCTAAAAAAAAATATTATCTAAATTTCGTAAGAGTGGGAATGAAACAACCTGCGTCAAAAAGAGTGGCATACACGCATATTTGGTGTCGACCCTTACAGTGGTGGCACACCGGCGGGGCGGGACCCGCATCCTGATTCGGGCCGGAACCATGGCTCCAGACTGACCTGAGTTTTTCTTCACTCGAGGTCAGCCTGGAACCATGCCCTTGGTTTTTAGTGGCGAAAGGGAGGACAAAAGAAGAAAAATATGAGAAAGAGGGAGAACTGCTGGTTCGCATATTATAGTTAACATTCGAAGAAGGCGAAAGTGAAGTGAACATTGTTTAAGACTGGCTGGCGCGCTAGCGACGCGTTCGAAAGAATGCAGCAAATAATGCAAAGCTTAAAAATAACCGTCCTTACCTTCTCTTCACATGCACGCGCGATGTATCCGGCCAGGTATACTAGGGGTGCTAGTTCGAGGTCATCCGGCACAGCAAGATAAACATTTAATACTTCTAGCTCATAGGAAAGCCGCTTAGCACCGAGGACGACCACAAGTGGCACGGCCGCGGTGTTGCCTTCTCGGGCTTCGAGTTTTAGAGGTGCATTTGTTTCGGAGCTATGGGGAGCGTTTCCACTCTTAGCAGCTTGGAGGATTCCAACCTGGAGAAAAAAGTGCGTAGGTTACATGAATGTGCTCTCCAACGGGCACCAAGTATACCTTTAACAGCTTTTCGGCTGTGAAGACCACGGTTCTTGCATCAACTCTATCGTTGCCTCCGTTAAACTGTCGAAAGCAACTGAAGAGGGAATCCACGGGGTCGCTGTTCAAGGCACGGGTCAAGACGTAGCGAAAGCTGGAAAAAAGTTTGTTTGATACCTAAGTCAATACACATATACGTAACTGCGATAAAAAATATGAAGGTGAAAAAAGAAAAACCTACTTGTTGTCTAATAGATGTTGAATCAATGCCACAGTTGACCCCGTCGTCATTATCGTTGCCTCGCATGTTTCTTTCGTCATTTTCTTTTTTGTTTTGCCACCAGAAAGCTGAATCTCCTCGATGTACGTGATGAAGTCTACTTCAAGCCACGAAAGACGGTCGTCGTCGATCAAGTAGAATGGTTCTTCCCTTTGACCGCGCGGCTTCACAGCGCCAATATTGTGAAGGTCATACCACTTCGACTCCATTTTCATGAAGGTGATGGTGGGCAAACAGTCCTGAAATTCTGTCGCATCAGGGTGGCATTGCGGGTTTTCTTGTAGGAACTCAAGCGTTGCTATTACGACTGGGGAGAAAACTTGCGTAGCCCTTGACACTTTCATCTTTTCTAAGTCATTAGGTTCAACGTGTGACTGTGTTAGGAACCTCACTGGCTTTACGAGTAGCTGTGACTGAATGCTGAGTAGCTCCTTCAAGTGCAGTCCACCTTGAATTAGATTATCTCCGTCCATCATCTCTCTTTCCACAATATTATTTCTGAGGTTCTTGATGAGGTGATTCGGATCAAAAGACAAAAAAACAGGATCACCTTGTCGCAATGGATGTGGCACTACATGCGCAAGCATTCCGTCTTCGGAAAGGCTCTTGAAGAGCGCAACATTTGACTGGTGATTGTCGGTAACAATCCTCGTTACACGGAAACCCACATCTTCGACTGCCTTCATGACATTCATTGTCATAAAACGAAGTAGCTCACTCCTGAGGCACCGGGTAAAGAAGTACCCAAGGGTTATTACATAGGCAGTTGATAGCCCTCGCAGGACGAAGCACAACAACCTGTTCGCCACTTCAGGCGTTGCACATGATTGCTGCTCAGGACCCATGTCAACGAGACCGAAAACCTTATCGAGTTGGCGACCGTACATATCTTTCTGCTGTATCGCCATTTCATCGATGATCAGGGAGCAGAAGATTTCGTGTTCGACTTGTAGCGCTTGAAGCTCTGCGCGGAGGCGTTCTGTTATGAGTGATGTGACGCCTATTTCACCTGTTGAGTGCCCAATGTACTTCTGCAGTGTGGCACGACAAGGCAACTTGAACAGGCCTCTTGTTCTCACATACTCGTAACCTTTGTTGGAGCACGCTTTCCAGAGGACGCACTCCCTCAGAATCGATCGTGTACGCTGGCTTCTTGGAAGCGAAATTCGACACTTGATTCTTGATAAATTCGGTGGTTTTATGGCCTTCGTCTGCGGCTCTTAGTACACTCACAAAACAGGCGATTTGTTTGTTGCTTTCGAAAGCTTGAAGCCGTTCACGAACCGTATCGTGCTGGCTTTGGAGCGTCTGCAGTGACTTATTGAGGTGAGAAATTTTCCGCTGCAAGCGGTTCGTCGTTTTTTTCGCATCCTCTATCATCATCCGCTTAAGGTCAAGGTCTATTTGAGACATTTTATCTGTACATGAACTGGTTTGGCACATACTATCAGCAGGCAATGAACAGTCCCACGTTCCGTCCGAAGACCCGCTTGGTGCAACATGTTCTTGATCTCCGAAGAGTTCAGGCTCGACATCTTCATGCCTGCTTTCATCTGGGCCATTTCGTGCACTCTTTTTCGCGCAAGCTGATGAACCACCATCTGGTACTTCTCTTCGAGGCCACTTTCTTATCCTTGGAGCCCTTGGCTTTTGCGTATAGGACGGGTAATTGGGGAACACCGTCGGGATAGCAGTTGGCAGGAGCATTCGCAGTTTGGTGCCTTTCTTATAGTCATTTTCGGTGAAGTGAAGGGAACAAACCGAAGAGCGGTCACTGGGTACTTACCTCGTTTCTTTTCCGCCAGATCCCTGCCGGGAGATGTTGGTGAGCCATGCTTGTCGTCGTTTAGCACTCGATGGAAATTCATGGTAGCTCAAACCGGGATTTTTCTTTGCGTTCAACGCGCACAGTGGAACACAGCAGTTTTTTTAGCATACTAACTGGCCACTCTAACTACCTAGCTGGACTGTGAGGCAGATCGCATCAAGCTGAACACGACTATATTTGTTTGGAGCATGTAACCTCATTCCGCGGCGAGAAATTGGCGCGAAAATGCCGCGTTCGCCGTAGCGCGCCCGCGCGTCTCTTCGGTGTGTCCCCTACTACTAGCGCCCCCCGCGAAACTTGCGGCCGCAACTGTCAACAACGCTCGTCCTCCCTCGCCAATGCGCGGCGGCTCCACGCAGCAGGCCGCACCCTGTGCGCTTTGATCCAGCGGCCGTGCCAGGACATAGCCTGCTCAGTGGAGTGACAAGTTTATACAGCCAATTGGGTCAAAAATTAGACGTGTGGATAGCGCCGCCTGGATTGCAATGAAAGTTGTACAAATATTTAAAAAAATACTATTTTACTAACAACTGAACAACTTTTCATTATTATCTGAATTAAAATAGCGTTCTAGAACAAATAATAGGTAGAATTATTGTTTGTATAGTTTATAGTTGCGTATAAAACGAAATGGTTTTCTCGGATGCTCCGAGTGGACCTTTTCACGCTTAGTGCAGGCGACTGTGTAAGTGACGTGGAGTTGTGGCCACGCATCAAAACCTCCGATATTCATGAATTTCTCGTTCCGAGAACGAGTTTGAAAACCCGGGAGCAGATGAAGTCCAGAAAGGCCCTCGAGGGCCACAGCGTTTTGAAGAGTGGACGAATGCGGGAACCGTTAGTGAAGAAAGTCGCCGCCGGCACCGTGGCCATCGTCACTCAAGTCATCATCATCATCATCATCAGCCTGACTACGTCCACTGCAAGACAAAGGCCTCTCCCATGTTCCGCCAGTTAACCCGGTCCTGTGCTTGCTGCTGCCAATTTATACCCGCAAACTTCTTAATCTCATCTGCCCACCTAACCTTCTGTCTCCCCCTAACCCGCTTTCCTTCTTTGGGAATCCAGTTAATTACCCTTAATGACCAGCGGTTATCCTGTCTACGCGCTACATGACCGGCCCATGTCTATTTCCTCTTCTTTATTTCAACTATGATATCCTTAACTCCCGTTTGTCCCCTAATCCACTCTGCTCTCTTCTTGTCTCTTAAGGTTACACCTACCATTTTTCTTTCCATTTCTCGCTGCGTCGTCCTCAATTTAAGCTGAACCCTCTTTGTAAGTCTCCAGGTTTCTGCTCCGTAGCTAAGTACCGGCAAGATACAGCTGTTATATTCCTTCCTCTTGAGGGATAGTGGCAATCTACCTGTCATAATTTGAGAGTGCTTGCCGAATGTGCTCCACCCCATTCTTATTCTTCTAGTTACTTCAATCTCGTGGTTCGGCTCTGCGGTTATTACCTGCCCTAAGTAGACATAGTCTTTTACAACTTCAAGTGCACTATTACCTATCTCGAAGCGCTGCTCCTTTCCGAGGTTGTTGTACATTACTTTCGTTTTCTGCAAATTAATTTTAAGACCCACCTTTCTGCTCTCCTTGTCCAACTCCGTAATCATGAGTTGCAATTCGTCCCCTGAGTAGTGGTTGGTTATACTCTGAGCATTTCTCTATTACCTGATTGATAGTATGAATGTGGTCAATTGTTGAGTAGCCTGTTCGAAATCCTGCTTGTTTCTTTGGTTGATTGAATTCTAATGTTTTCTTTACTCTGTTAGCAATTACCTTTGTAAATAGCTTGTATACTACAGAGAGCAAGCTGATCCGCCTGTAACTCTTCAAGTCCTTGTCATCTCCTTGCGTATGTATTAAGATGATGTTAGCGTTCTTCCAAGACTCTGGTACTCTTCCCGTCAGGAGACACCACGTAAACAGGGTGGCTAGTTTTTTCTAACACAATCTGTCCTCCATCTTTCAGCAGATCTGATGTTACCTGATCCTCACCAGCAGATTTGCCTCTTTGCATGCTCTCCAAAGCTTTTCTGACTTCTTCTATCATTACTGGTGGGGTGTCATCTGGGTTACTGCTAGTTCTTATAGTATTAAGGTCGTGGTTGTTCCGACTACTGCAGAGATCTCTGTAAAACTCCTCCGCTATTTTAACTATCCTATCCATATTGGTAGTTATTTCGCCTTCTTTGTCCCTTAGTGCATACATCCGACTTTTGCCTATCCCAAGTTTCCTCTTCACTGCTTTGACCCTTCCTCCGTTTTTCAGAGCGTGTTCAATTCTCTCCATGTTATACCTTCTTACATCGCATACCTTACGTCTATTAATCAACTTCGAAAGCTCTGCCAGTTCTATTTTGTCTGCTGTACTTGAGACTTTCATGATTTGACGCTCCTTAATTAGGTTCTTCGTTTCCTGGGAAAGCTTGCCAGTGTCCTGTCTAACTACGCTGCCTCCAACTTCCACTGCACACTCCGTAATGATACTCGTCAGATTATCATTCATTGGCTAAGGTTGGTTTCCTCACTAAGAGCCGAGTACCTGTTCTGCAGTGGCACTCTGAATTCCTGTACTTTCCCTCTCAGTGCTAGCTCATTGATTGGCTTCTTGCGTATCAGTTTCTGTCGTTCCTTGTTCAAGTCTAGGCGAATTCGAGACCGCACCATTCTATGGTCACTGCATCGTACCTTGCCAACCACTTCCACATCCTGAATGATTCCTGGGTGTGCGCTCATTTTAAAGTCTATTTCATTCTTGTTTTCGCCATTAGGGCTCCTCCATGTCCACTTGCGGTTTTCTCGTTATCAGTAGAAGGTATTCAAAATCCGTAAATTATTGCGTTCTGCGAATTCTACTAGTAGCTCTCCTCTGGCGTTTCTAGTACCGATGCCATAATCTCCTACTGCCTGGTCTACAGCCTGCTTCTTCCCTACCTTTGCATTAAAGTCGCCCATCACTATAGTATACTGTGTTTTTACCTTACTCATTGCTGATTCCACGTCTTCATAAAAGTTTTCAACTGAAGCGTCATCATGGCTGGATGTAGGTGCGTAAGCCTGTACCATCTTCATCTTGTATATTTTATGCAGTTTAATTACAATACCTACCACCCTTCCATTAATGCTATAATATTCCTCTATGTTGCCAGCTATGTTTCTGTGAATTAGGAGCCCCACTCCCAGTTCTCTTCTGTCTGCCAAGCCCCGATAGCAAAGAACGTGCCCATTCTGTAGCACCGTATAGGCCTCATCTGTCCTCCTAACCTCACTGAACCCTATCATATCCCATTTAACACCCTCTAGCTCCTCGAATAGTACAGCTAGACTTCCCTCACTAGATAAGGTTCTAGCGTTAAACGTTGCCGAGTTCAGGTTCCAATGGCGGCCTTTCCGGATTCAGAGATTCTTAGCACCCTCTGCTGCGTTGCAGATCTGACCACCGCCGTGGTCAGTTGCTTCACAGCTGCTGGGGACTGAGGGCCGTGAGTTATTTTGATGTATGCATGTGAGAGGTAGTGACCAAATGCTGCACCAGGGTGGCCAATGCTTCTCTGGTGAGGGAGTGCATTCCCGGTGGTGGTTATACCGGTGAGGCCGCACCCCAGGCCTCTTAATGCAGTTCCATCAGCATGCGGATTTTTTTTATCCGGTTGGGAACTGCGCGGCACCGGGATTTGAATCACGGACCTCTTGCATGCGAGGCGGATGCTCTAACGACTACGCCATCGCCGCACCACGCGAAATATACGTGTCGACTAAAGGTAACAGGAATGCAGTGGTAATGAAAAAGGGGGCACTGTGGAAAGACAATAGGTATGATGTTGTGAGAGGAATATGGAAAAGGGTCATGGTTCCTGGTGTGACGTTCGGCAATGTGGTCTTGTGCATGAGATCAGAAGTTCCAGCATGATAAGAAATTAAGCAACGTGGAATTGGTAGGCTTGCCTTAGGAGCTCACGGGAATACACCAAATCAGGGATTACAAGTTGATATAGGATCGACATCATTTGAGGGCAGGGAAGCTAGCAGCAAGATAAAATTTGAGAAGTGATTGAGAGAAATGGGGGAGGAGCGTTTGGCTACGAAGGTATTCAGCTACTTGTACATGAAGAATGTCGATACAAAATGGAGGAAGCGAACCAGTAAATTCACTGGTAAATACTTGGAAAATAGCAGGGGGCCAAACCAAAAAAAATAAATTATCGGTTATAAGAAGGTGAAGGAAGCTGAGACCGATATGTGGAGAATCGGCATGATTAAAAAGTCCGCACTAGAGATCTATCAAACTTTTAAGCAGGAAATTGCCAAAGAAAGAATCTATGATATTTCTCGGGGTAGTTCTCTACTGTTTGAGGCCAGGACGGGAGTATTGCGAACCAAGACATATCGGGCCAAATACGAAGGGGTAGACACGGTATGCAGTGCGTGTGGAGAGGAAGGAGAAACTGCCGAACTCTTGATAATGTTCTGTAAAGGGCTTCACCCTATAGGTCAGGATGATAGCGCAGAGTTTTTCAAAGCACTGTGGTTTAGGGACAGGGAGGAC